TGTTGATCTAAGTCACTGCTAAGAAGTGACAACATGCCAGACATATTTTTCTCAGATGTAGATGGCTGGTGGTGTGCCTTTGTCTCTATGCAAACGTCTTGGAATGAAGTTTCCAAAGCTGATTCTCTGTTTCCAATTACATCTGTCTGAAGCTCTTCCTTTGACTCTCCCTCTATTTTGCTCTCCAAATTATCACGTGTCAATATGACTTGTTGAAACCTCTCATGGACTAGCTCTTCCTGTGGCTGGGATTGTATTGTCACTGACTTTTCGTTGAGATGTTGAACTAGGTCACTGCTAAGAAGTGATACCATACCTGACATATTCTTCTCAGTAATAGACTTTGGTTGTTCTAAATTTCTCTCAATGCATGTTTTTTGAAATTGAGTCTCAGATATAGAACATGGTGTTAGTTCTTTTACTTCAGCCACATCAATCTGTGTCTGGTCATACATCTGTGCACTCATCTCATCCTCCATATCAGCACTAGAAGACTGATGTATTTTGGTTTGAATAACTTGCTGAAATTTCTCCTGAACAACAACCTCCTCTGCATGCTCACTTTTCACTGGCTTGTCCTTGAGGTACTGATCCAAGTCACTGTTCAGCAGGGATAGCATGCCCGACATCTCCTTTGGTTTTGTAGATGGATCGTATGACTCTTGATATTGTACCTTTTTTTCAAGGCAAACTTCCTGGAATGGAGTCTCACTTGCCAAAGTTGGCACGAGTTCTTTCTCTCTAATTACATCAGTGTGCAGGTTTTCATTTGCCTCACCGTCTATTTTGTCCTGTAAATCATTACTTGACAATATAATTTGTTCACATCTCTCGTGGACTAGATGTTCTTCTGGTTCAGATTGCATTGCCACAGACTTTTCCTGAAGATGTTGATCTAAGTCATGACTAAGAAGTGATAGCATGCCAGACATATTTTTCTCAGATGCAGATGGCTGGTGCTGTGCCTTTCTCTCTATGTAAATTTCTTGGAATGAAGTTTCCACCATGGAACTTGGTGTTAGTTCTCTGCCTCCACTTAGATCTGTCTGAAGGTCTTCACTTAGTTCGCCCCTTATCATGTCTATTGAAATATCACTTGTCAATATGACTTGTTGGAACCTCTCATTGACTAGCTCTTCCTGTGGCTGGGATTGTATTGTCACTGACTTTTCATTGAGATGTTGAACTAGGTCACTGCTAAGAAGTGATACCATACCTGACATATTCTTCTCAGTTTTAAACTGTTGTTGTTTTAAGTTTCTCTCAATGCAAGTTTGTTGAAATGGAGTCTCTGATATAGAACATGGTGTTAGTTCTTTTACTTCAGCCACATTAATCTCTGTCTGTTCATCTGTCTGTGCATTCATCTCATCCTCCATATCAGCACTAGAAGACTGATGTATTTTGGTGTGAATAACTTGTTCAAAGTTTTCCTGAACAACAACCTCCTCTGCATGCTCACTTTTCACTGGCTTGTCCTTGAGGTACTGATCCAGGTCACTGTTCAGCAGGGATAGCATCCCTGCCATCT